GGAACCGAGTAGCGAGGTTGCAAGAAATCCTCAAGGTCTTTTTCCCGCGCGCGTTGGAGTCTGTGGCGAGAGGTGGCTTCGGGAGCGGCGTGAGGGGGTGGGGGGCGGTTAGGGGGGGAAAAGAAGGAGGGATATACGGTAAGGTGTGATAATTAGGTAGAGGGGAGTAACGAGGGGAAGGAGAAATTTGGAAGAGTGTGGTTTGTGGGAATGCAGGTGGAAGGGGGGGGGGGGGGATGAGAAATCGCATACAAGCAAAAGTTATTTATTTTCTTGCTTATCGAAGTATTTATAAACAAATCTCAGAGTTTCGTGCATGGAGAATCAAGCATAAACTCGCGACCTTAGTAATCACGGGTTTTAGAGAAGGAAATCACTGTATTTTAGTTTTCTACACACATCCATAAAATAGTTGCATTATTTTTGTTTTGTTATGCGAAGTTAAATAGTTGTAGTATTATTCTAATTCTAACACACACGCACACAAAGACACACACACACACACACATACACACACATACACACACACACACACACACACACACACACACACACACACACACACATACATACACATACACATCCGCGCGTGTATTACGTTTATTATTTTGTTATTTGCTCTCCCACTGCTATAGTATATTCCCACATTGTCGAATTTGCAGGTAATTACAGATAATCATTAATAATTGCTTCAAAATACCAATCTTAAAAAAAATAACAGATGTTTTATTACTAGATGAGAACGGTAACGCTCAACATATTTGTCATTTTTACCATGAAAGTGACAGTTCCCTTATCAACGTGTTCTTTAGCCATGAACACACTTTGTCTAGTAAATTGTCACACGATTTTTTTTTTTTTTTTTTTTTTTTTTTTTTTGCTTAGACATGGCCATTTTAGAGTAGGTTCGGATATGAATTTTTATGACAGTTATTTTCATGAACTGATGATGTTGTCTGTAGGAGAAATCAGACATTAATAAAAAAAAAAAGGAGAAAGCGAAGAAGACGATGGCGAAGAAGAAAGAGAAGGAAAAGAAGAAGGAGGAGGAGGAATAGGAGGAGAAGATGAATGATGATGATGATGATAATAAGAATGATAATTATAATAATAATAGTAATGATAGAATAACATGATAATAATGATAATGATAATGATGATGATAAAGATAATGATAATGATAATGATAATGATAATGATAATGATAATGATGATAATGATAAAGATAATGATAATAATAATAATAATAATGATAATAATAATAATAATAATAATAATAATAATAAGTAGATGGCGATGATGATGCAGAAGAAAGAGAGAAAGATCTTCGAGGTTAATGAAATCAAAATTGTTACCAAGTCATAACGCCATAACGTCGTAGGTAGATTCCAGGCGAGGAACGTAAGTGGGATTATACAGTGTTGTTAAAAAATCCCTATTTAAGAATGCGCATCTCCGACCTGCACTTTCAAAAGAACAAGAAAAGCAAGAAAGAAAGATCTTGCATAAGTCTCGTTGCATTCGCGTCATGCAAAATTTCACGATTTCATGAGTGTCTTTATGACCAGCAATTCGCGCTGATATAGCCCTTAGTGACACCCATAAAATGACGAATATTTTATTCAGTATCCTGTTAGACGAAAGACGTGCTTGAAGTACCGTTTTATGATATGGGCTTTTATTTGTTAGTTTAGTTATACAGATACATTTTATAAAATAGTATATATAATCTGCGTTGAGCAATTTAGAATGCTAATCCAAGACACTTGAGGAAGTCAGTCCTAGGCACTATGTGAGTTAAATCTAGGCACCTTAGAAAAACAAAAGATGTTTAAAAAAAAAACAAAGTACTAGATACTTTGGTAAGCCAATCTATGGGGCTTTTAAAAGTTGATCCTAGGCACTTCTGAGAGCCAATCCTGGGCACGTTAAAACCAATTCTAGGCACTTTGAAAGCCAATACACACCTTAATACTTTATAAAACCAAATTAGATATTTTATAAAGCAAACATAGGCACATTAGAAAGTTAATCCTAAATACTTTAAAATCTATATCAAGCAATTTAAGAGTCAGACCTAGGTTCTTTAAAAAGTATATCCTGGACACCTTCTCGATGCCCGTCTGTCACGTAACATGGAAATTCTAAGCAGTCAGCTCTGTACATTGATATTAGCCACCTTGACCCGCGCAGTAGAGTTTTACACTTTACGTGGTGATGTAAGATGGATGACTATACTATAACGCAAAAATGTTGCTCAAGAACCAAAGGATTTTCTTGTGAGATCTTTTCGTATGCAAGCGCACTTACACACATATGTGCACATATACTTACTCTCTCATTCATTCTCTCACTCACTCATTCATGTATTAACTAACGAACTTATTCACTCATACCCTTATTCACAAACGTAGACAGACACACATACAGACAAACACACATACTTGTATACATACAAGCTTTCTATCTTTCTATCTATCTATCTTTATGTCTGTCTGTCTATCTACCTTTATCTCTATCTATCTATTTATCTATCTCACAGACACTTATATGAACAGTTACACACATTGTAATATTCATGCACAAACATACACAGATACATATACACAGTCCAAACGCACACACAAATACTTATTGGAATATAACGCACACGTTGTAAAACCTAAAAGCACGTTTTCGTTTAAGCATAAAACTTCTGTCACGTGTCAGTAATACATCATTCGTCAGTGTCATGTGTCATTTACTTGTCACGTCTGATGATCTTTCGCAATCAGTAAAATTCAGTATACAAAAATGAAATAATAAAAGAAAATAAGAGAAATAAACAAAAGCAAAAAATCCGATACGGTTATTTATAATTTTCCCACGATTATTCCGTTTTCTGTTCTCTTTGTTTTACCACAAATCTATATATAGTAAGCATCGCCCGTGACCGCAAGCGAGATGACGCAAGCGACCTCGTACCTAGAATGTCATGAGAGAGAATGGGAGGAGGGGGGGGGCTTCCCTAGATTCAGGGGGAGAGGGAGGGGGAGGAGAGAGGGGGGAGTGCCATGTAAGTAGAAAAGGAAAAGGGGAGAGGAGGATGGGAGGGGAAAGAAGAAAAGGAGAAGGGATAGGATAGACAGGGGATGCCACGCATGAGGAGGGAGAGTGGGAACAGGGTGAGTGCCACTCAAGAGCAGGGGGAAGGAGAGAGAAGAGGAAGAGTGCCATGTACGAGGAGAGTTGGAAACAGAAAGGGTGAGTGCCACCGAATATAAATGATAAGAAAGAAGGTGGAACAAGAGAAGGAATGAGAGAGAACTATTAAACAGAAAAAAGTAAAGAAAGAAGATTGGAATACAAGAGAAAAATGAGTGCCACGCGAGAGGACGGGGGGAGAACAGAAGTGCGAAGGGGGGGGGGGGGGCACGAGGGTGTCAAACAGTGCCACGTCACGATCTACGGTCCGGTGCCTTCGCTAAGGGAGTGAGCAGCGGGGCGGGTCCATTGCCTCATGGGAACGCGGCCCTCCTTGACGCATGTAACTGCACTTCTTCAAGGTCGACGGTGCCAATTTGGGCAATGAGCAGGGGGGGTGGGGGGTGGGGGGAGGGTGGAATGAGGAAAGGGTTTAGAGGGAAATAAATGAGGGAGAGAGGAGAAGTGGAAGGGAGAGGAAGGGGGGGGAGAAATGTCTAAGGGAAATAATGAAGCAGAAGGGAGGAGGGAAAGAAAGGAGAGAAAAGTCTCATTTGATTTGATTTGATAACATTTATTTACAGAACAGTGTACATGCCCTGCAAAAAGCCAGGGTAAGATACCAAAGCATCTATCCAAACTGGCTGTGCTTCTATTTGTGTAGAGGGCCATTGGTCAAACATGAGTGTTACATACATGCCTGAAGGGCTGTTCTATTATCACAATATTAAAATATCATCTGACTGGTAAAAAACCTTTTACATCACTAATCATGTCAAAGACAAGACCAGTGTCTATAATAAAGTTAATATAATCTACAAGCGCTATTCTGTGAACAGTACTATTTGATCGATAGGATGCAGTCTTTATGCAGCAGAGTAAGTAATGAGTGAGATTATGCGACTTGGGTTCCTTACACAGTTTGCAATGGTGATATGAAACAGGTTTTGCATCCAAAACTGCATCCTGTACATATTGTATAGTGTACTGATATCCTATGCGTAGCCTAGTTAATGTAACCTGTTGTCTCCGAGACAGTCCGTAATAGACTTTATAGGGCTTGTCTAAATTTGATGTCCCAACAATACTCTCGTAGTGCCAGATAGTACCATGTCCGTCTTTTTTCATTTTTTCATTGGTCCATACCTGATCCTCATAATCTCTAAGACAGTTGATAACTCGTTTTTTCATTTGATTGAGAGATAGCGGTATTACATAGTATGGATCTTCATGGGAAAGTGCTAACCTGGCTAATTGATCAGCCCTGTCACATAGTGATATTCCTATATGAGAAGGTATCCAGTATAGTGACACTTGGGTACCCCGTTCTGATAATTTAGAAATTTGGTGAAGGATATTCTTAGTTACCATGTTTTCTGGAGTAAATGCAGTAAGCCTGTTAAGAGCGCCTTGGCTGTCTGTAAAGACAGCCAGGTTTCGCTGCTGTTCACTACCTTTCTCAATGGCATGATATATAGCTACTGACTCGGCATCAGTTGTGCTTGCCCAGTTAGAGATGCACTCACTTTCTTCAAGGTCTATATCAGGAATTAGCACACCAATCCCTGTTGTCCCATGAGGACCAGTGGAGGCATCACAGTAGATTGCAAGTGGGGGCGTACCATGAGGAGGATGTAGAATGCCATCTATATATTCCAAGTAGTGAGCTTTTAGTTCCGTTTTTGAAGCCATAGATTTAGACCCTATTAGTTTATCAATATGAGCACGTACATGAGTTCTGTGCCAAGGAGCAGTAAGTACTGTATCTGGAATATTAATAGCTTCGTTGTTCCATACATTGAAGAACATGATAGTAT